GATTTTTTTTTACATATGTGGTTAAAGTCTATGTTCTTATAGGTATGTATGTACATTGTATAGTATATATCAATGGATGAATTTATAAGATCTTTTTGTAAATTTAAAAGAAAAAAATTGTAAAACAATTTGAAAATAATATGAATGTGTGTGTATGTATGTGTGTGTGTCGTGTGTGTGTGCATGTGTGTCTGTGTGTGTGTGCGTGTATGTGCGTATTGCCATGTACAAATTTTTTTATTTACCTGCTAATATAATTTGTTGTGAGATGAGAGTAAAACGCGCTTCATTCAAGTTGAGAATGAGCTAATGGACTGTTTCACTTTATTATTTATTTATTTATTTATCAGTTTATTTATTTTTTTTTATTAGATTTTTATTTTACTTTCATATTTTATTATATAGCATTTCAAGATTTTGTTGTATTTTAAATGTAATTTGTGTGCGTGCGTGCGTGTGTATCTGTGTGTGTGTGCTCACATAGTTTATACTTCCTTTCTACGCAGAATACCAAAGTTGTTTTATAGTGAAATTTTTTTTAAATTTAAAAACAAATCATAATTTTATTTAACACATGAATTAATTTTTTTTTCACATATATTTGAATTTTATTCTCCAATATATCTCTTCTTCTACGTTATGTACTTTATTAGATTATTTTTTTTAAATAAATTTTAAATCTGAACTTTTATCTTTTTTAGTCTTTTTTAGTCATTTGTATAAAGCATTTTGCCCATATATATATATATATATATATAATATACCGATAAAAGGTAAAAAAATATGTATGTACGTGTGTGTGTTTGTGTGTGTGTCTGTGTGGTGTGTGTGTATTAATAGTTTCGTTATGCAATACCCCGCTGATTTAAATAAAATTAAAATAATGACAATTCTGTAACACAATGAGCTGTGTGATGATGACAAACGTTCAGGATCCGGGTTTATAAATGAAGAGTTTAACAAGATAAAATTTTCGTAAATTTTCTATTTAAATTAGTGAATAATTCAATTAATGATCCGGAAGATTAATCGAGTTCGACGAAATATCTCAGGCTCTACCGTAATTTATTTTGCTAGCCAACATATTGAATTATGTATAAGTACGTCAGAAACACACCAAGATCATGGAATACCTACACAAACAACATACATACATACATATACATACACATACTTACACGTATACATATGTTTGTTACACACACACACATTTATTATTAAACATAGATATACGCGTACCTCTGCTTTGGTACGTACGTGTTTGAATTTTGCGTGCGTGTGTACCGCGATACAATCAACCGATTTATTTTATTCAATAAAAAACTTGCAACATGACCGATGAAGTTTTTAAAATTGTACGCACACGTGCACACAAATACACACACACACGGATCCTAAATATTTTTCAAGTAGAACATTTATTTCGGTTATTCCTTTTAACCTTACAACACAATATATAGATGAAGGTCAAGTAGGAAGACGTGGCTAGTGATGGTCACAGTTGTTAAATTTTAACCCGCGATTTCAGTTGTTGGAGTGCGTTTTACGATGGTTTACGGTTTGCGGCTATTCAAGAACTTCTACATAATACTATATAATACCATTGCACTATGGATGAAAGCATGCAACAGATTAGGTGACAATTGACACTTGACTTTCATCTTTTACTGTTGTACTCATGCTAACGTGTGTGTCTGTGTGCACGTGCGCGTACAATTTTAAAGACTTCATCGGTCATGTTGCAAGTTTTTTATTGAATAAAATAAATCGGTTGATTGTATCGCGGTACACACGCACGCAAAATTCAAACACGTACGTACCAAAGCAGAGGTACGCGTATATCTATGTTTAATAATAAATGTGTGTATGTGTGCGTGTGTGTGTGTTTGTTTGTGTGTGTGTGTAACAAACATATGTATAACGCTGGTACGCATTTACTAAAAGAAATTCTAACCACTATTTTACTATTACTTTCTGATTTAATCTACTATGTTCAGTTATCTTCCGATTTACACATCATTACATACACACACACGCACACCAACACGCACGCACACCAACACGCACACATACAAACGTTATACAGTTTAGTTACGCACATTATTACATTGTATAACACGTTCACCATTGTCGATAATAACAAACGAATGATGGGGGATGAAATTTATTTACATTCAATTTTTTTATTAGTTGATTTTGTTTGGAAATCCTTCTTAGATATCATACATCGGCTATGTCTATTTCGTTTTTATTCGTCATGTCATGTTATATTACGTTTCGTAATCTTTCATCAATACATAATCTCATTTACTTACAAACGATTGATAGTTAATTAAAAATTGGGCGATTGATGAATCTGTTGATTGACTGACTGAATTTTTGATTGATTGAATAATTGATTGAATGATTGATTTGATTGATTTAATAATTGGTAGATTGTGAGCGTTAACTGTAAATGAACATTACACAAATATAATATATATACATAATATTATCTATCACCCAGTTCTGCCATACACATATGTATATACTGTTTCCATTTCCAGTATTACACTATTAGATTATATATAAATATACACTTACATACATATTACACATTCATACAAAGAAGCATAAATATACACATACGTACACATATATGTGTATACTATATACAAATACATACATATTTGTTTATACGCATTACGTTGAACGTATTGCAATTGTTTTGTTTAATTTCTTCTTTTTTAGAAATTCCATAACATATATATATATATATATATATATATATATATATATAATATTGATGATGACGGTAACATGATGTGATTGAACCACGTGATATGATGACGTGATTAAGCCACGTGATGTGATTAACATTACTCTTACTATACATTATTGATTTCTATATATATATTTTTTTCAATGCTTCTTAGTTTTACAATAAAATACAATTAATAATAACTATAATAGTTAAAATAGCAATAATGAAGAAGTTGATTTTTTATAAAGATCATGAAAACAATGAATTAAGACACACAAAAACAGACAGATGTACAGTACAGACATACAAAGACGGACGCTAACACACACACACGAAATTTATATGTATATATGCTAATATAAAGAATATGAAGTTCGAAGTTTTTACTTAATTTTATTTTCAAAAGTGCAAAATAAATAGATGAATGTTTTAGAAAATATGATCCACTTTTTTTTTTAATAGAAAACAAAATTTGCAGTTGCTTGAAAAAATTATAACAATCGGGCAATCAATGAAGCTATCAACCTCCATGTGTTGATGCGTCATTCATTATCTTGTTCCTTCATTTAACCTAGCGAATGGTTAACAATAAAATGAAATAATATTTCATTGCATTGTAGACAGAAAACCGAAAGGACATACAAAATTATGAACCAATTAAACTGCGGGGTGTCTAAATTCCACATAGATGTCAACAGCACTTCCCTCTTCATCACTGGTATGATACGCGTCAATTTCTACAATGCCTTCGATTGGACAAGAAACACTTTGCACACACAGAGGACAAACACCTCTAAGTTTAAACCATTTTGTCGCACAGTTGACGTGAATCGCGTGTCGGCAAGGAATTTCGTAGATGAAACTTTTCAAGAGAAAGTCCTCCAAGCAAATAGGGCACTCGCTGTTTAGGAAGGTCCCATCGGCGTAGAGCGCAATAGGATCGCGATAATTGGTATTAGCGCGGAAGTAATTGTCAGCGTAAACGATCCGCCCTTGGATAGCTGGACCTGGACTTTCATAACTATAATCCCATATTTGGACTTGACTCTCATTCGATAAGACGGATTGATACGAGTTTTGCAAATATTTTAACATTTCACACCGTTCTTCAGACGTTATTAGAAAGAACTTGCTCAGCGGCCAGTCAGAATCTTCAGTAACCTTTACTCCAGCAGCATTGTGGGCTATCAAAAAAACTTCGCGAGAAGAAAATTCAAAGGCTTTGTATTTCATCTCTAAAAATTCAATATAAAACTTGGCTTTATCGATGTCTCTGTTGTTTAAAAAAATTGGAATATGACCATTTAGTAATTCTATTACGCTAAATTTTGCGTAAAAATCATCCAGCGGTACCTTCATTTCTTCTCTCTTTCTCGATATGTAATTTTCCAACCCAAATTGGATACACCAAATCTAAACGGCAGAAGGAGTTTCCTGAATTTTATACCAACTGCCGAACGATTGTAAACTACACTATTTATAGGCAATTGTTAAAATTGCCTATAAATTCACCAAATCTCAAAGTGAATAAACTAACACCATACATAGAAATAGATAGAGACAGTAAAACCAAAGATTATCAAAAATAAAATCCTATGTGAATAAACTAACATGATACAAAGAGACAGATAGATAGAGACAGCATAACCAAAGATATGATAAAATATACAATCGAGATTTTACAATCAAGTAACAAAGTCGACTTCAGCAAAGTTTTTCTTACAGACCCATTTTTGTTTTCCAATAAACCCCTGGCTAATAAAATTATTAAACAATATAATCGTTAAAAAATAGATGATTAATGATAACAAAGTTGATAATATTAGTAGAATTTTAAACAAAGTTAAACGAAGACGATGATGACGTCGGGAACTTTTTTGATATTGATGAGAAACAAACGATGCAAGGACAAAAGTAATAATAAGAAAATTTTTTTAAATATTAAATAATAAAAAATAAACATTGTGAAAACGGAAAATAGACCCAAAAAAGTTAATAATAACAAATGAATAGCCAAATAAAATCACTTTACAAAGTTAGTTTTATTGAAACTGTTTCAACAACCAACCACAAAAGGTATGAAAATGATAATTTTCCAAAAAAAGTTCTTTTTTTTGCATTAACAATTTTTATTATTTTTTTGATAGTTTAGTCTGTTTTTATCATTAATATTAACTTACACGACTTGAATGTTGTGCTAATTTTTGCCGCTTTAGTCAGAGCCAGTGGCGGATCTAGAAAACTTTAACGAGAGGGTGGGGCAAGATCTGTGCTAGTGTGGCTGTTGAACTTTTTTTGCTTATTAGGTTCAATTTTTGGTTGATTCTATACATAAAAGGGCCCGGTCCTCTTTCTGGCTTTTGTTAAAAAAAAGCTCACAACAACGGGGAAGGGAGCACTGCCACCCCTCCAGATCCGCCACTGGTCAGAGTGTTAACTTTTTCCAAGAAACAAAAAAATTATTTAAGCGTAGATGTAAGGTTAACAATAGCACAATATGAACTTGTAGAAAGGGAGATAAAAATAAGACAGAGAGAAAAGGAGAGAGAAAGAGAGAGAGAGAGACGCACACGAAAATAAAAACGGACTTAATTTTTGAAACCTGCTAAATTGTTTGTTGTTCAACGATTCGTACCAAGGGGTAAAGATAAATATTAAAAAATTGATAAATTGAAAATACAATTAGGTTAATAATAATAACAATAATAATAATAATATGAGTAATATACGACAGACAATGGAACTACAGTTAATGACAAAGGAGTAATGATAAAATAAAATACAGTAAAAACGTTATTGGCGTTTGTTCAGTGATGATAATAATTATAATAACAAACTAAAAAAATTACAATAAAAATATAAAATAATAATAAATAGGATTCGCAATCAGGCCATCCTGCTGACGATGGCTTCATGAAGGGAGGAGAGTTGATTGGCCCACTTGTGAACAGCGTTGTACCTGGCTACCCCCGTGTTCTCGTGCTCAAGTTCTAGCAACTGGTTCACTTGGTCTATCCTACCTCTAATTGTACTAAATGGTGGTGTAGATGATGAAGATTATGGTGTGGTGATATGAGATTGGTGATAAGAATGATGTGGTGATGTGATATGATGATGGGGCCATATGATAAGAATAAATTCACGTGCTAAGGTTACTACTATTCTGATAAGGGTAGCAATAACAATAGGCTCGTGGTGAAGCGGAAATGATGATGAATATGATAAACAGAGATAATATTAACAAAGATGATGATTGAAAAATTATGTGATTACACAGTAGAAAGATATATTTGGTTACTAAATGAAAAAAACAATAGGTGACTGTGAAACAAACTATGAACAAAAAGATAACTAACTTGTCTAAGATACAGGAAACTAACAAACACTCAACTTCGTTGACATCTATGTTCAACTCCTGTCATGAGGTGGTTTTGTGTTGGTTGATGTGGTTGTTGTGGATGTTTATGGTAGTGGTTGTGGCCGTTGTGGTTGCTACTGATGTGATTGATTAATCAATTTATCAATACCATTTAAGTTAATCAAACATCTCATATCTAGATAATATCAATGAAGAGAAGCTAAAATGAATAAATTTCATAATTTCAATTAAAAATTAATAAACAACTAAACAATAAAAGTGAATTCTATTGAAAATTAGTTAACAATGATAACAAATCAATTCCAACTTGAGATATGAAAGGAATATGTATGCGTGTGTAAGGTTTGATCAGCTTGATGAGTACTTGCGTCCTTATGTTCCTCAGTAAGTCTGTTGGTTGTTGTTGCAAAAAGTTGAGACAGTAACACCAATTATTTCGTCGTTTCAACCCATAATGGTAGACATTTTTAAAGATAATTATTTAAACAAATTTACTGTAGAATTGCAAAATGAATCCATTAAAAAAGAAAAAATTGAATTAATTTAATGAAAATCAAAAATAAAACAACAAAATATAAAGGAACTATAAAACTAAAACCGAAAATCCCTAACAAAAATGTTAGCCAAAGCCAACTCTATCTTTCTCACCTTCAATGTGCTCCCTAATAAATGGATCCTCCATTATATTTTCTCTGTTCGTTTTTAAGATCTTCTCAAAATCGCATATGTCGTTGTTTTGGTAGGCGCTGTTGGAAAAACAGAATGAAAGTTTAACAAATTAATTAAAGGAATTATAAAGTTAAATGACTAATTAGGCAACAAATCAGCCATGAAATATATTGCAGCAAGAAATAAGATCACTATTGTAATCTACAAAAATGATTAACCAACAAACATTCAATCACTCTATCAATCAGGCAGCCAATCATCAATCATTTTATCAACCAGTCAACAAACTTATCAAACGGACAAACAGATATGATGATAAAAACTTAGAATAATATTAAATCAAACATTGACCATCATCACTTAAAAATAAATGAATCATGGCGCCTGACCTGACAAGATTGGTCATGGCTAATATTTCAGGATTATTCTTGTACGGCTTGGCCTCCTGCGAATCAAACGGATTGATACCTGACTTCATGAGCATGTTGGCTAGTACCAGGTATTTCAGGCATGTCGTTCTTCTGCATTGGTTTTTATTTGTTGGATACTTTTTACATACGAATATGCGTAGACTCATGGGTATTTTCCGTGTTAACAATAAGTATGAGACAAAAAATTTTATTTTGCAAAAAAATTTGAGAAAGACCTAGGGCTTCCAGATTCATCGTAATTTTTGAAGGCCTCAAAGAAGTCGGTGTGTGCCTTGCCATACTCACCTTCGCGAAGGTGCATTTTGCCGCCGCACTCTGCTCAAAGTCATTTTTGTATATTTTGTATTGTTTGATATTTGTACATTTTGTATTATTTCGAGTTTGTATACTATACATTGTATTGTAATTATGAACATCTCCTTTTCAACAGCTGACAAAATCAATTTTAAATTCAATTGATCATAAAGAAGAGTTTTTCAAAAAACTGAATCCAAGAAATAAGAACAAACAAAAAAGACAGAACCAACCCCTGATAACGCCCATGATAAGTGGATGAGGAATGGCTGACTTAATGTGCAATGATTGTTCATACAGAGCCTTTGGAAACAATAATTTTTACTTTATGATTAGTTTTTTATCAAAGTTTTTACAAATTCGTGACACTTCTCAATTAGTAAAATGGTTTTAAATAGAAGAAATATGAGAATCTGCATGTTATAAATTTAATAATAGCAGTTAAATATTTTTCAGAAATATGAGCTTGTTGAAATCAGTAAAGAAAAATGTTTACAGATAGTAAAATACTTTTTAGATAAGTAACAAAAATAAGAAATTAAACGAATAAATTAACATAAAAATAAGCCTACTTTTAATTTTTTGTTATTTTTCTGTGCTGTATACATTTGAATTTCTAGGGCATATATTTCTAGAAGCTGTGTCCCCTTCTTCATGTCATCCTCACCCTCTTCTGTCTATCATCCAGATTTGAGGAAGAACAAAATAATACAATAAAAAAAATAATGACACCATTACATTCTTTAGGAATGCCACTAGCATTTCATTATTCATTAATTAAGTATTGAGCCATCATGTAAGTCATTAACAAAAGCCTCAATCGAAATTGACAATATCAGTTCCTTAAAACAAAATCACCAATAAACCACTGTTCATTCATCTCTATATTCATCCACCTGTATTTACACATTCATTTATCTGTTCATCCAATCATCTTTCTATCTGATCATGCATTCATCCATTCTTCCATGCACATTCCAGCACCATCACCAATCACACAGACCTGACAAGAGCCATGTAGCTGTCTGATGATCTTCTGAAGTTTTGTCCAGTCCTCCCTATCAAAGTAGAGTTTGCCTAATTTGGTGTTGGTCTTGAACCAGAGCCTCTCATTCTTTGCCTCCTTCAAGGCATCTAATGTCGTCTGGTAAAAATTTTGTAGCAAGTCAGCCTGTGGGATGGAAGACATTTTATGAAACATCCAATTCAATATTTTTCATTGCAAAATAATATAACTAAAAGAAGTATGATAAATAACATAACTGAAAGATGTATGGTAATTTTTTTTACAACAAGTAACAAAGAAAGCAATCTAGAATTCAGACCTGTTTAGATGTTGAAATGTAATCGAGGATAGAGTTAATAGACTTTTCAGAATAATTTCTCGTGACAGCACTCTTGATGTATGTTAGGAGTTGCTTGTATCGACTCATCATCTCTCTATGTTGACCCTGCATAACAAATTGTGTACCTTAGTTCAGAACATGCCAAAAATTATAGAAAAAGTAACAAAATGATGACCATATCCTTTCAGCGCCTTTGAGTTGCATTAAAGGGCGCTATATAAATTCTCTAATAATAATAATATAAAAAAATGATACAATCTAATTCAAGAATTAAATACTTACAAGGCGAAAATTGATTTTAATCATTTGTTTCAAAGCTTTAAATCCCCAATCTCCTTTGTCCTTACCCTCCAGGTCAAGGACCTAATTTCATGTTGGATTTATAAATTTAAATTGTTAAAAAACATATTTCATAGATATAAAGCTTTTATTTTTTTTTTTAGCATAAAAAAAATCAAATAATAATAATTATTATTACACAACAAAAACAAAAAAGAAACTGATTGAAGGTATCTGTTAAAATGAGTGGGAAAAAGATAATGCAATAAGTATGAACCTTTTGAAAATTCTCAAGGGCAGCCTTTGGATCATCTTCCTTCAGTGCTTTCGAGTTGTAATACTGGTTCTCCAAATCGACATCCGGCTCTGAATTGCTATCTTCTGAATATTCCTGCAATTTACAAAGAAGTAAAAACAAATCAACACCAATGTATCATTCAGTTTAGTTTAGCATAAATATCAAAATACATTTTTGGGGTAAAATGTTTTTAACTTTTATTAAAACTCATAAGATAAAGAGCACATATTAGTCATATTTTAACAATTTCAATGCTGTTTCATTCATTCATACAGCCCATCTCTTTATAATTTATATGTACTTTCTTGTCACAAACTCATAATACAACACAAAGAAGTTGAATTGAAATTGAACAATTAATATTAGAAACCAAACAGAAACAACCCAACAAAAAGTAGCATTAAATGATTAAATTCATCACCAAATTTTCTATTCAGTGTTGTGCTATAATCACATTTTTTGATGAGCAATTTGTTGGAATTTTAGTTGGTTGGGCACTGCTGGAAACTTCACTTACTTTTTACTTCTGCACAAAACAAAGCAGCCACGAGAGCAACGCGGCATTTTGGAAAATTTTATAAATTATACTTTTAGGAACTAGAATAAAATCGTAAACAAGATATAAACAAAAAATGGCGAACGAAATGCTAACTAGGTCATATTCTTCATCTCCAACCATGTAGTCGTCGGCATCCGACATCTTGGAAGTTGATATATTTAGTGAAAAACTAAAACTAAACTTAGATAATAAATTGAAAACTTTTTAGGCTTTAAACACTAAATTATAATCACAAGCAAATTTAGGCAGCAAAAACCATTAATTTTTGTTCACTCGTTATAAGTAAATCGATTTTCATTTCTTTAGTTTTAATTTTCGATATTTTAAAGCAATTAAATCGCCATGACGACAGAAATAATATCACAAGTACCTACTCCACCTATCAGTTCTACAGACCATCATGATCGTATGGTCTTAGAGAATCTAATATTACATAAATAAATGAACAAACGATAAAACAAACGAACGAACAAACGAACGAACGAAAAAGAGGATAGGTACATCCATAGATTCAACAAATAACATACAAGCAAAATGCCTGTTCAAGGATAAATTGGATGTATTAACACTTCAAGAAATCAAATGCATCGGAGAATACACCTGCGATATAACGAGTAAATGGAACTCAGATGGTGGAGAAAATACAGTAGAAGTGGTTGCTGAAGCAAGCGGTATTTACAATGGAATTTTGTGTAAGTACAAAACCGTGAGTACCATCACAGCTGACTTTGAAACTATTGAAGAAAGATACTATGAACTTCTTCAAGTAACATGATATTCAATATAGTGCATGGATATAGATATATGATATAGTGCATGGATATATTGACATAGATATATGATTCAGTGCATAGATATATGGATATAGATATATTAGTGACCCTAAAATATCAACAACTGCAACAACAACATGGTTTTACTCTATGTTTATAACACTTGGGTGAATGTATTGTAGTAATTTTTAGTAATATTACTTATATTTATATTTTCTACAGTGAAAATTTGCCAAAAATTATTCTCCATTTCAATCGTATTTGAACGAAAGTTTTTTTTCTTCACACTAGCTTTCAAATACTGACATGGAGCGAACTGTAACAATAAAAAAGAAAGATTTATTCGATTACAATTACAAAATCATAACATCTAGAAAGAAGAAGGTAGGCATAGACATTTTACATGGTGTATATACACACACACACACACACACACACACACACACACACACACACACATATATATATATATATATATATATATATATATATATGTATATATATATATATATGTATGTATATATATATATATATGTGTGTGTGTGTGTGTTTGTGTGTGTGTGTGTGTCAACAATTTCACTTATTTAATTATTCGACAATTTTATTATCAAATGTTTAATTCAGATAACCTCGAAATACAAGCGAGTTATCAGCGGGGATAAGAAAACACAATTTTTATTCAGAGGTTTGGTAATGAAGCATACATAATCTTAAACTTTCTTTGAAATTCTTCAAGTACACTGGGTAATTAAGTTTTTCTAATTAGTTTTACTTATTTTTAGTTTGTTTTTTCTTTCGAAATTTCATTCGTTTACTGATTAATTCATTCTTTCAAAGATTCATTCGTTTTCTGATTTATTCATTTATTTTATTCGTCCTGTATTCATTTTCTCATTTATTAGCACATTCACTCACTCAGTATAAATTCGCGAATAATACACTAAATCAGGCATCATCGTTCCAGGCTTCTCTGAAGCTAGAGAATCAATCAAACAGAACCGGCGCATAGATCAATCATAAAATAGAATCCTCCACTCATAAATCATTCACCTTTTACATACCACACACACACACACGCACACACCACACAAACACACACAAACAAACACATACATAGGCGCGCAGTTGTTTTTGGAGCGTGTTTTAGCAGTGGAGAATGTGGACTATCCCCAGCCTAAACTCAACTTCAAATGCCTTGCCACAGACGACCACCATTTTTTAGCTAACCTTACCTACGTTATTATAAATTTTAATTAATAAAAATATAAATAATTAATTATTAATTAATAAAAATAATAATTCCTTCTTAATTTATACTTCATCAAGCGTCTGTTAATTATTTTATAGATGTATCAACAGACACCGTCATAATTATTACCTTTATTTTAATTAAAATACTTGTGGTTGTCAGTAATTGAATTGTATGTATTTCCTCTAATCAACAAAAAACTTTCAGAAAGTTATCGAAAAGAATTCTTTTAGGGTGGGAGTCCTATAGCCCCCCAATAGGACCCCACCACTCTGCACCGCACAGACCTTTTCTTTTCATACTTTTTTTTCAAAATATTAGTTGTCAATATTCGAAATTTTTCACCGAAAATTTCTTTCCCAATAGCGAAAATTAACAGTAGAAGACATGGACGAGAAAAATTATGGAAGGCCAGTTAGGGAAAAGTGCAAAGTCAGTCTGGTGAAAATAATAAAACCGTGCGTCGGTAGTGAAATAGCAAGTGTTGTTTGCTGTCTAGAAAATTTTCAAAATGATGACGACGATGACGATGATTATAAACAAGAGACTACCACCGCTACTACTACTGCTGCTGCTGCTGCTGCTTCTACTACTACTACTACTACTACTGCTACTACTACTACTACTACTACTACTGCTACTACTACTACTACTACTACTACTACTACTACTAATGATAATAATAACAATAATAATAATAATAAATATAACAACCACGATAAAATTAATAACAATGATAATAATAATAATAATAATGAAGATTGTGATGTAGATATTTACTATATGGATTTTAATTGTAGTGGGTTAGTGTTATATGTAATGTATAAAGTTATTATTGTTATTATTATTATTATTATTGTTGTTGTTGTTGTTGTTGTTGCTGTTATTGTTATTATTACCATCAATTTTTATAGTCAATTAATGTCATCTAAATGGGTAATTTATTTATACGCATGTAAGCAAATTACACTCAGGCAAATATGAAAATTACATGCAGATAAGAAAGTTAGGTAAAATTTACCTGTCGGCTCTCTCTGGGATGATGCTCTGGAATGAACAGATGAACGCTCAGTAGCGTACTACAGTATTAGAGAATGAAAAACAGATAATGTCAAGAAAGAGTAGAAAGAGAGAGAGACAAAAGGAGAGAAAGAGAGAGAGAGAGAGAGAGAGAGAGAGTGAGTGGAAGAGGATAAATGAATAAAACAAAGTAACCAAACAAAAACAACATAAGAGCAAGATGAAGAAAAACATAATACCAACAATGAAATATGGCGAAACGCATATATCCAACCAATCAAACTAAGGCACGCAATTTATGAAGGAAAGAAAGAAAGATAGATAGAAAGAAAGACGGAAAATAGAAAGAGAAAGAACTGGAAAAGAATGGAAAAGAAATAAAAAGAAAATGAGAAAGTAATTTATGATAGAACGGTGAGAACAGGGTAAGGTGTTTAGAGCGCGAATATGTAAAACAAATGCACTCCCGCAAATAAATAAACCCTTTGGTACGAGGTATTTACGTGTTTTGAGGTGGGACATAGAAGAGTGAGGCTTTATGCATAGGTATATATTTAATGAAGTATTTTTTTTTTATTATTCTTTAAAAATCAGGATCTGACAGACGCAGAAACTGAACAACATGCAAGGCAGTGAAACAAAATTAAACAAATAAGTGAGAAAATAAATACAAAAAGTGGGGAAGAGAAATGATAAAACATGAAAAATTAAATATGTTAGAATAAAATAAATAATACCAATAAGACAAATAAAAGAAAAGTAATTGACAATGGAAATAAAATAAAGTAACAGAGTATTTAGGTGTTTATGTCATTTTGCTTATGATCGTTTATCGTGTCGCATTTATGTTTACTTGTGTTTGTATAATCTAAAATGTGTAATTTATGTGTACTGAATTTGAAAAAGGCATAAAAGTGATGAGGAAGATGTATGTGTGTGTGTGTGTGTGTGTGTGTGTGTGTGTGGTTCTTTGCGCTTGTATGTATGTATGTTTGTATGTGTGTATGTATGTAATTTTTTGTATATAAATTTATGTATGTTTGATGGATGGCCTCTCTGAACATTTATCAAAAAACCAACATCGTCACGGTGAACATTGTGCTTGTGCTGCCATTTCTGAGTATGTGTGTATGTGTGTGTGTATGTGTGTGTGTATGCGTGTATTTATGTGTGTATGTATGTGTGTATGTATGTATGGGTGTATGTATGTATGGGTGTATGTATGTGCTTGTGTGTATGTATGTGTGTTTGTGTTTTATCAGTATTTATGAATTTTTGTGATGTTTGTGATATCTATGATATTTATACCATTCTATCATTCCATCTTTAATTTGTATGAGTTGCTGGTACGTCGGTTATATTTATGTATGCCTTAAGATCGATCAGACATATTATATATGCATTGACACAGAATCACTGCGAATAAGAAAGTAAGATATGACGTTTCGGAATGTCTATGGATGATGATGAAGAAGATGATGACGAAGATGATGATGATGAAGAAGATGATGATGATGATGCTGCTGATGCTGATGATCAAGATGATGATTTATCGATCAGGTGTTTATTGAGGCAAGTGCATCTTGTATCTCCGGTGTTTATGATGCTACCTGGTAGTTGCTTCTGGAAGAAGATGATGGGAAACGATAACGTAAACAACAATAACAACAACAACAACAACATCGACCGTAACAACAATAACGACAACAACAACAACAACAACGACCGTAACAACAATAACAACAACAACGACTGTAACAACAACAACGACCGTAACAACAACAACGACCGTAACAACAATGACAACAACAACATCAACGAAAACAACAACGACATTAACGGCAACTACAACTTCAATAACATCAACAACAGAATAATTAGTATGTCTTACAATGTTATTTTAATTTTTTTTTCAAATAATTCTTCCAATTCAGCATAAATAAATAAAATAAACCCCCACCAACAGATAACAACTCTCCATTCTTTATTGATGGCGATCCTCAATTGAAATCAATGTACGAAGAAGCCAAGGTTAATAATAATTGATAAAAATAATAATAATTAATAATAATAATTAATAATAATAATTAATAATAATAATCCGCATGGTGCCTTAAGCTTTCCGACTAAACGCTCCGACGACTTTTTAGGCGCTCCGTAATTTTTTCAAATTTTTATTAGTATTGAATTGGATTGATTGGCGTGATATCATTTAAGGAAGGAGTTTTTCATTGTTTGTGTGTGTGTGTGTGTGTGTGTGTGTGTGGTGTTCTTTTGCTTGAAAGTTTTGAAAATATATTTATTTTTAATTTAAGATAATAAATTCCTAAACGTGCATCCGTTCCGTCATTCAATTTCCCCAACCTGATCTACTTTTACTAGCTGCAATTTGTTCAAAAAAATTCTTATAAAATAATTTTGTAACGAAAAAACAAAGTTTGGGCTGCTTTTTGTATTTTCTGTGGGCCATCAGACCTTGCTGACTGAGTGAGTATGGCATTAAAAATTGCCACAACAACGTCAATTACTCTTATGGCATTTTTTTGAAATTTAATTTTTTTTAAAAACGAACGCTGCTAATGGCGTCTGACGACTGGTGATAAAAGATGATAGAGATTTCTAAGAAGTTACTGATAGCTTAGTTAAGATCGGATCAAACGTGATAAAAAAAAATGTTTGGCGTCATCATCATCGTCACCATCTTTCATGACGTCATCGTCACCATCTTTTCTGACGTCATCGTCATCATTCAGCGCCATATTTTATATGGCTAATATAACCGTCCAACCATAAATAAGGTGACACTTGTTTGCGTCATTAAAAATCGGCCAGCAAATCAAAACAACAACAATAACAACAACAACAACATCGACAACGTCATCAGCTGCAACCACAACAACGCCAACCACAACACAACCACCAATCATGAACACCGACAAAATCATTACCCCACCACCATTACCAATTGCCATAATTCCTACAACAGAAATCAACCATTTCCGGTTACAACACTTATTTGAAACAACTACAACAACAACACAACAACAACAACACAACAACAACAACAACGTGCGCAGTTTGTTGTCAGATTTTCTCCAGCAACTGCTAATCCTGAAACCACGTGACGTTCTCGAATTTTCCAAGAACTATTTCATACTTTTGAGAAATGATAATGATGGTGCCGCTGCTGCTGCTGATGGCAAATGTTGGAGAAGATGATGATGATATCGTGTCGAAAAATGATGATAATAATGATGATGGCAAATGGTGAAGGCGAATGATGACGATGATGGCAAATGGCAATAAAGGCGGTATGATGATGATGATGATGATGTCGAGTAATGATGGTGATGATGACGATGATGTCGAGAAATGATGATGAGGAGGAGGAGGAGGAGGAGGAAGTGACTGAAATGCAATAAACGGATTTGATGATTATGATGATAATACTCCTATCATGAAGACGATGATGGTAATGATGATGACTTGTTATTGTTATTATTATTGTTATTTTTATTATTGTTATTATTATTAGTAGTAATAGTAGTCGTAGTAGTAGTAGCATTTTAATTTTTACAATTCAATGGTTAACAATTTATGTTTCAAAAATATATTTTTATTCTTCGATTTATAAATATATGAATGATTGAATGAATGAATAAACGAATTGAAAGAGCAAGAGAACAAATGAACGAATAAATGAATGATTGAATTAACAAATTAATTAATAATTAAAATTATTAATGAATAAATGAATAAATTAATTTTAAATAAATATTAAGAGAGAGAGAGGAGAGTTAATAATATTATTAATTATTATATATATATATATACATAGAGAAAGAGAAAGAGAGAGAGAGAGAGAGAAGAGAGTAGAGAGAGAGAGAGAGAGAGAGAGAGAAAGAGACAGAATCTACTGAATTTCTAGCACTAGCAAAGGATAGTTTTTTGTCACATTTTTCAATATTTCTAACCAAACTTTCATCGTCATTATCTGTTTTATTAAAGTTAGAATAATATACAGTTTTCCAATCCATTCTCGAGTGTATGGGACCTATTTCGATTCTTCAATCATCTTCAGTACTTGTTGCATTTTCACTAGAGAATAGGTATAACCCAAGCCTTTGTTCCTGACATTAGCATTTATTTTATCAGTGACTTTGTCTTAACTATACACTGTCTACTGACCTTAACCCTAGTCATATACACTCGAGAATTAATTGGAAAACTGTATATTATTCCAACTTTGATAAAATAAACAATGGCGACGAGAATTTGGTTAGAAATGTTGGGGAATTCAACAAAAAACTATCCAACGCTAGAAATTCGGTAGATTTCATTAATTATGGTCTTTTACCAGCACATGCGCGTATTTGTCTGTTTGTGTATGTGTGTGTACGTGTGTATGTATGTGTGTTCGTATAAATCCACGTTAAACGCTTCTATAAATGAATTGTCGTTGAAAAAAATTTTTCAGTCAATTTTTCACCAATGAACAAAAATAAAATATAGATCACTTGCTAATGATAGTAATAATGATTACAATGTAAATAATGGTAACGATGTTAATTAAATAATTAATTTATAAAAAAAAAAACAAACAACAACAACGATAATGAAAATCAAAAAACTGAACCAAACTAAACGAAACTCAATTAAAACGAAACGAAACAAAATGGAAAAAAATCAAAGTCTCGAAAACGGGAAACAGCTTTTCCCAGTACGGCGGTCCGGCTAATGGCCACAAGTTGAAAGTAGGGATGTGGCAGGCTGGTGATTTATTTAGAAAATGACGTAAGGGTCTGAATTTATTGCTGTCGTGTAGTTGCTGGTTGCTACTGTGGCCACTGTGGCTGCTGCTACCGCTGCTGCTTTGCTGGACGCGGGAGTTGTAGATCGTGCCTGTAAAATTTATTGAAAATTTTATTTCAAGTAAATAATGGTTCTGTAGTTATTAATTATTACTATTAATACTTTTGCATGTATCTTTTCTCATTAAACTGACAATTAAGCTATCAAATTTATACTATTTCTGTACGATTCTTTTGTATGCATGTGGTATGTTATCAAGGTGTTTGATGATTGACGATGCATCATAACACAAATATGTGTCTGTATGTTTTTGTGTATGTACTGTGCGTGTGTATGTGTGTGTTTGTGTGTCGGTGCGTGGGTGTGCGTGCATGTATAATTTGTATTTTCATGGGTATGCATGTGTATGTGTTTGTATGAATATGTATTATATGTTTGTATAGTATGTGTGTATGAGTGAGAATGCGTGTTTGTGTGATTGTGTGTGTGTGTGTTCTGTGTGTGTATGTGTGCGTCTTGTGTGTGTATGTGTGTGCAGATGTGTGTGTGTGTAGATGTGTGTGTGTAGATGTGTGTGCGTGTGTGTGTGTGACTAGCCTACCAACCGTAGACGGACTAAGTAGAGAGTGGCAAGTGTACATTTTATTATACTTACGATGTATCGCAAGAAATCTGTGCATATCAGTGTTAGCCCATTGTAAGGAGAAATATTTTGAGTGCTTGAACCGGTTCATGAACGTAATGGGCGTTTACACGTTCGTGTTTGTGTGTGTGTTTGTGTGTGTTTGTGTATATGTTTCTGTATTGCTTCATATGGCTATGTATTTTTATGATTTTTTGTTTGTTTGCATATAGGTTAGGAGATGGTTTGCCGGTTTTATGTCATTATACGTACTGTGAGATTGATGTGATTAAACTTTTTATACAGTAAATAAGAAGTGGAATGAAACAAAGAGAGTAAAACAAACTGAACGAATGTGTGGGAAGAAGGGATGAAGAAGAATCGAAAGAAAAAAAAAGTTGGAAAGAAAGAAACGAAAAAAAGAAAGAAGGATGGATTGAGTGAATTTCCTGGTCGTTGAGTGATGGGTATGAGATGAAATGTTCAATTTATCATTAGGCCTCCATTGTTCTTCTGCCTTTTACAAACGAATGATGAAAAATAAATTAAAAATTAATTAATTAAAAATACAGTAAAATAAGTTGATATAGAAGAGGAGTAAAATAGCAGAGATCAGCCAAGAAAAAAATTAAAAAAATTATAAAATCAAAAAAGAGTAGGTTATCGAGTGCTGACGACTTCATCCGTGCAAGCTTCAGCACCATGACAGGTGTTTGTGTGTGCGTGTGTATGTATGCTTGCGTGCGTGTGTGTGTGTATTAGTGTGTATATATATATATATATATATATATATATATATATATATATATATATATATATGTATGTACTATATATATATGTGTGTGTGTGTGTCGCTTAAGTTCACTTTTAGTTGGAGAAATTATTGATGATAAGTTGCTCGGAGTTTTGCCGGCAGGCAGATGACTTCATCAATCGTGGCTGCCTGGTATGGTGACGTGTTTGATTTTTTGACGGTTGGAAGATCGTACGCGCGCAAACGTGTGCACGTGTGTGTGTGTGTGTGTGTGTGTGTGTGTGTACACTTTGATGTAATCCTATAAATGTACCCATAAACACTACTTATACTAGAGCAAGGTATTCAAGGTATTTTTGTACACAAACGTGCAATGTACATACACCCTTGCTGCATGCTTGTGTATTCAAATGTGTATGTTCCCGTGTGGTGTGTGTGTGTGTGTGTGTGTGTGTGTGTGTGTAAGAGAGTGAGTGTGTGTATTGTGGGTACATGTGTGTATGGATATTTCATGAAATATTCATGTATCATTTATACATTTGGGTATTAAAGATGTAAGTGTGCAAATACAAAACGATTGCTTCGTTAGCACGCGCGTCTTTGTGTATAAATAAATGCAACTTAGATGCATCGGAAAAATAATTTTTTTTGGGAGAAAAGTGTTTTTGTTAAATAATAAGATGAGAATGAATATTGAATGAAGATTTTATTCATCCCTGTCCTTATGTGAATTTATTTTTTTATCTAAATGTTCATTATATTGAATTTTTTAATCATTTGTCAATTTTTGTATAGATGTGCATATGTATATGTGTGTGCGTGTGTGTGTGTATATGTGTGTGTAGATATGTGCGTATGTTTAAATGTAATTGTATTTTTTTGTTTGTTTGTATGTGTGTCACTTGTATGCGGTTTCTGGTTGTGTGTTTGTATGTAGTTGCGTTTGTATGTGTATCTGTTCTTGTGTGTGTGTGTGGTGTGTGTGTGTGGTGTGTGTGCGTGGTGTGTGTGGTTTGTGTGTGGCGTTTGTGCGCGTGTGTGTGTGTATTAAGTGTTGGTGTTTTAATAATTTAAACTTTTCAGATCGCTTGCTTAAGCATTAAAAGTGAATGGAAGATGATTGATTGTCGGCCAGCAAAACTTCCAAATTGCGTTTCTCTCGCTGCACTATTTCTTCTCCCTCCAATCATTTATTCTCCCTTTCTTTCTTTTTCTCTATCTCTCTTTTTTCCTTTTTATCACTCTGTATTTTCTTTTTTCTCTCCCCCCCTCTCTCTCTCTCTCTCTCTCTCTCTCTATTTATCTATCTCTCTTCTTCTCTAAGTTTTTGCAATTCATTTCTATGGCTCTTTTTTTCGTTTTTGTATTTTAAGAGTAAAAGAAAAAGAAAGATAGATAGACAGAAAGAAAGAAAGATAGATAGACAGAGTGATAAAAAGAGAAAAAATGGGAAAAAAATAATTAAACGAGAGAAACAGGAAAAGAAAAACTACGAAAAAGAGATAGAGAGCTAGAGAGAGAGAAAGAGAAAGATAGAGAGAGAGAGAGAGAGAGAGATAGAGACATAAAAAGTAAAAGAAAGAAAGAGAGAAAGAGAAAGTGAATAGAGAGAACAGAAAAAATGATAATACCCCCGCTAACTGAATTTTGCAACGCAAATTCGCCTTTTTAAAAACATTTTTCTTCATACTATATTTGAAACATTTTAATTTTTTACCCAGAATTCTTTAAATTTATAATTTTTTTAATTATCCATATTGATGACTCAAATTATTTTTCTGCTTATAAATTTTTTGTAAAGAATTTCTTCAAATACAACAATTGATGATGATACAGCTTAACTTGAGCCTACCACTAATGAGAAATTTCATTTCAAATTCTTCATAACTTTTGTACATACACACACACCACACACACACACCACTCTCTCTCTCTCTCTCTCTTTCTCTCCTCTCTCTCTTTTACACACACACACACTTACCTTACATACACACACACACTTGCTCACAACACACACACACACAGCACACACACCCATACACAAACATATTTAAAAACTTCAAAACATATAAATTACTTTTTTTAATTCTCCAATATCAGTATAATTGAGAGAAAACAAAATTTGTTGTTTAAAATGTGAAAAGTATGTTAGGCGAGGTACAAAGGAAATGCTAATGTTTCCATTCTTAATGGAAAACTGATGCGACTAATGCATGCACTGGCGCCACACATCAGTGACGTCAACATTCTTGCATAGACATCAACGACGATGACGTCAACCGGAAATCCGTGTCATCAACCGGAAATCGTGTCATCAATCGGAATCCGTGCCATCAATCGCATTAACGTTACATTACCATTATGACGTCATTACTGTCATTACAATGAAATTGCATTGTTAACCGTAAAAATGACATTAACAGGACATTATTGAGAGTGTAATGACATTAATTATTGTGTCATTAGCAGTTAAGTGACAATATTTCTGGGTTATTAGCACAACAAATGACATTAACGTTGTATCAGAAAGTATAGAACGTTTGTTATAAAATTATATTGATATTGATGTTATTAAAGCCTTGTTTTCAATAAACAAACGAAAAAGCAATTAAATAACAGGAATATAATTTTAAAGAAATAAATAAAACATTTAAAATGAGAAAAAATAAAAAAAACTTGTTTTTTATAAGAAAAAAAATATAAACGAAAGCGGAAAGAAAATTAAATCGAAAAATATCCGATTACGTCATGCTTAACAATGATAAAAACAACAAAAACAACAACCAACAACAACACCTGGAGGGAAAAACAGACAGAGTATGAACCAAAACAACAACGACAACAGCAACAGCAACCAACAACAACCAACAACAACAACAACAGCTGGAGGGAAAAACAGACAACAACAACAGCAACAATAACAACAACACACAACAACAATAATAATAATAAACAAAACAAAATTACCCCTTTTCCTAGCAGTTGGCGATGCTGAAAATAAATTCAAAATATCCATTACAGTCGTTAGGGTTTTTATTAATTTTAAAATTTCAAAATTAAACAAAAATTTTCTTTAGTCTTCTTCTCCTTCTCTTTTTTCTCCTTCCTCTTTTTCTTCTTCTTCTTCTTCTTATTTTTTTTACTATTTGAAAATTCAAACTAAGACCATTAAAAAAATTATTTTCCCAGCTGAATTTTTTTATTTTATTTATCGCTTCAGCACTTACTACTGCGGAATCCCCGCCAAACTTTTAATGAGCGAGGTCATTTTTAAAAGTTGTTTTTAGAAAAAAATTTCAGAAAATTAAAAAGAAATAAATTAAGTTAATTTTGAGATTGTAAAAAAGACTGAATAAATAGATGGGAATGTTTTTAAGGATATTGTTAAATGATTTTAAACGGTACATTTTTTAAGGTTTTAAAAAATGTTAGCATGTTTTGAAGGCTAATCCTGGAGTAAAAAATTAAAAAAGACATTTAATCCTTTTTTTTCTAACATAATCAATTTTATTTATTTCATACACTTCTCAATCTAATTTCAAAATTTTGCTTGAAACAACCAAACTACTTACTACTATTACACCGTAACAAGCAAGAGTTTTATTAGCCAAATGATTTACTATGTAAGAAATATTTTAAAATAAGCAATTATCAAGTTATTGAACCATTAAGCAACCAGATATCAAATTAGTTACTCGACCGGCCATAAACAATTCAATCAACCAACCAGCCAACAAATCAACCAACCAACAAATCAACCAACCAGCCAACAAACCAACCAACCAGTCAACAAATCAACCAACCAACAAACCAACCAGCCAACAAATCAACCAGCCAACAAATCAACCAACCAACAAATCAACCAACCAGCCAACAAACCAACCAACCAGCCAACAAATCAACCAACCAACCAACAAATCAACCAACCAACAAATCAACCAGTCAACAAATCAACCAGCTAACAAATCAACCAGCCAGCCAACCAGCCAGCCAAGCATCCAACTAACGGTTGATAATATGAACGAATATTGAAGCAGACTTATTGCCAGACGAGATGCAGACATACTCGCCCTCATCCTCCAGCTGGACATTTTCAACATCCAACAAGCTGGTCAGCAGCCTGGTCTCTATTTTTTTCGTCACCAATATCCTTCTGCTCAAGTCGGAGCGCACAATTTTTCCGTGGCGATACCATTCTAAGTTGAGGGGGGGTTCAGGTCGGCCCGTGGCGTTGCATTTCAGTTTGAGAGAGTCCCCTTTCTCAATGTACTCCGTGCCTGAAACTTCTACGGCTGTTAGTGGATGGGCGGATGAATGAATAGAGGGAGAAATGAATGAATGGATGGATACATTAATGAATAAATGAATGAATGAATGAACGAACGAAAAACAATGAATGAATACGTGGATTCCTGTGAAATTAAATGGATAAAATAAAAATAAAGTGAATGAATGAATCAATTCATAAATGAATCAGTTGATCAATATAATAATTCATGTGACTGAATGAATGAATGATTCAGTAAATGAATGAATGAATGAATAAATGAATGAATGAATAAATGAATGAATGAATAAATGAATGAATGAATGAATGGATAAATATTTGACCTGCAAGAATAACGCATTGGTTGGCAATAGAATGGATAATTGAATACACGCATGAACGAGCAATTAGATTGCCTATCCAATAGATAGACATTTTCGTTATTATTATTATTAATATTATTTTTACTATTATTAGTGTTGTTGCATTAAGATGAATCATTATCATTTAACCGTGTGATTGATTAAACAATGAATGAATGGACAGACGGGCGAATGAGCGAATGAATTATGAACAAATGTACAAAAAGCAAATAAATGAGTGAAAAAATGAATGAATGAATGAATAAATGAACGAATAAATGAACGAATGAACGAACAAATGAATGATAGAATGAGTAAATGAACGAACGAATGAATGACCGATTGAAAGAACGAATAAACAAACGACGCAGGGAAAAATTGCCAAGAACGATTGATGTATTACTAAATGAATGAAGAGAGAAATAAAAGATTGAATGAAGGAGAGGCAGATGGACTGATTAGATGGAATAAAATGAAGGATAAAAAACTGGACATCTCGAGGAATTTGGATAGTAAAAAATGTTGCAGTTCTACATTAAAAATACCCACAAACAAGCAAATTATTTAACAAACTAACGAACGAATGAATGAACGAACAAATGAATTATTGAATGAACGAACGAACAAAGGAACGAATGAATGAATGAGAAAAGAACGAACGAACGAACGAATGAAAGAAAGAAAGAATGAAGGAATGTGTCTAATGATTGTTAGTGACACCTCAGACTGCAGTTAAAAGGCTTGATAAAGGTACCAACTTGTTATTTCTATTCCATCCTGCCTTATCCTATTTATTCCTGCTTATCTTTTTGATCCAGTTAAAATAATTATTATTATATTTTGAATGTTTGTGAACATTTTGCAAGAGATTCATAACACGAGTTTGTACTTTTTTATTAAATTTGCAATGAATTAACTTATTTTCATTAACATACTAAGAAAGAAAGAGGCAGAAGAAATGATTTGAGAAAAGAAAAAGAGGGAGAGAGAGAAATAAAGAGAGAGAGAGAGAGAGAGAGAGAGAGAGAAAAATGGATTGAAAGTACCAGAAAATACATACGAAACAGAACTGGGAAAAAGGGTGGAAGAGAATGAGAGAAAGAAGAAAGAGATAGAAAATAATTTTTAAAACAAAAAGTAGCAAAATTCTAAAAATGGCCATAGATTGTCGGTTATAAATAAGTAATGTTTTCTAATGTGGACTCAATACATTAAGCGCATTATGCGTACAAATTGGCCAGCAACATTAGTTAGCAATAAAATGCTTTGAAATTTTTTTTCTCCAATGGTCACTGGTCAGCTTTGTACGTGCAAATGTATGTACTGTACAGTGTACATACTTTGTATTGTTTCATTGTACTCACTTGCATACAAACTAGCTAACAATGTGTATGTTTGTATACTCTAATAAACAAACATGCATACAAACAAGCAAACGAACAAACATACATACAAACAAACAAACAAAAATACATACATACACACATAAATACATACATTCATACATACATTCATACATACATGCATACATACATACGTACATACATTCATACATACATGCATACAATCAATCCCGGTTCTCAAGGAACCATCCGGCATTTCTGCGCATGATGGTAGGCGCCCGGACGGATGCACACTAATACCTTGGAGAGCCGGCAGATGTTTGGCGTGGGATGTTACGGTCCCTGGCACCCTCGCCGAACGATACGTAAACCTGACAAGTAAAGAATGCGGTTTGGCCGCGGCCAGGGCAGCGGACGAGAAAATGAAAAAATATGGGAACGCCCTCCCCTCGATGGAATTCTTGCCAATATGTATCGAGGTTCTCAGCCCGATGGACCCCAACACCCTTAAATTTCTTAAGGCAATATGCAAAATGATCAGCGTCAGATCAGGCGACAGCAGGGAACTGTTTTTCGCAACTAACCACATTTCGTGCTTGTTGCAGCGGTTCCTGCGTGTCTGTGTGCTTGAAAATATCCAACTGAATGCCGACATGTGCAATTAACGACAAATCAAAGTGTTAATCCATTTGTTACTTGATGTTTGACGGTTCAGTGTCACTCATCATGTTTTGGTTTTAACATACATACATACATACGTACGTACATACATACATGCACACAAACATACATAAACACAAACATACAAACATTTCTTCTTAGGGTTCCAGTGTGGTTATTAACACAGCCTGTGTGGGATTTTATCATTGTTGTCCACATTTCATTGTTGTTTTATCGTTACAATTATAATAATTTTTATTTTTATTGTTATTATTTTTTATTACTATTTTCTCAACTATTTTTACCCGATATTCATCTTTTATAAATTTACATACATTCCTACTTACATACAAAAACATAAAGTTATACATCATGTCTACATACATACATTCAATCATAACTACACGTGCCAAGATAACTACAAAGATGTCTAGAAGCATCCAACCAATTAAACATACATACGAACAAACATACACAGACACACAAACAAACATACAAACAAACATACAAACGAACTTACATAAGCGAATAAATGAAACGTTAATCATTGAATCATTGGGAGGCAATAAGAATTAATTCTTATTATATGTTGTAATTAATAAACTTTTGTGCAGCAGTCCTGATCGTAGTACACACACACACACACGCACACACACGCACACACACACCAACACTACAACACATACCATACTAACAAACTAAACTAACACACGCATATGTATACCGATACAAAATTGATAACATACACAACACACAAACATACATGTATCGTTTGTATTTTGTGTACAGGGTACTACGGTATCTACTTGTTGTATTGTTTGCATCTTGTGTACGTTGAGAAATTCATCCCACTAAAGAGGCAGACTGGTAAGTAGGTACACAGTATGTTTGTCTGCACGAATCCATTAATGAATGAAAATGAGGTAAACTCTTTATTTTATTTTCTATATACGTATGTCGCTTTGTGATACGTGCGTATTGAATGGGTATGATTATTATCAGTTTGTAGGGAATGATGTTAAGTAGAAATTGGGCCCCAAATTTCAAAGGGTCAACACATGTATTTTATAAAGTTGTTATACAGAATACTGGATAAAGATGTTTGTCCGAGTAAAATAATTTTTGAAAATATGATGTATTTTTGTGTAGAGTACCATTTATATGAATGCGATTTCATACTATACCAAGTATTTCATAATACCATATGTGGCGCAAAATAGCGAGCATGTTTTGCCGCACTGTAAGATAGAAACCACGTTCACATAAATCTTCCTTTTCATTAACTGCATGTATGTGTGTGTGTCTGTGTGTGTCTCTGTGTGTGTAAGCACATCCAACGACGCGGCGTTTGTTTTTAATGTTAAACCTGTCAAGCAAGTATATTTTTTCATGCAAACATGGCATTTTGATTTATTTTCTTGTTTGTTTTTTTTTTATTAAAAATGATAATTTTTTCGTGCCAATAAAATCTTTTTTTTGGTGACATCATATAAACAAACGATTAATATTTTTTGACGATAGCTCAAAAACAAATATCCATGCGTAATCTTAATAGTACTATTATTAACAATACTGCTACTGTTGCTGCTGCTACTACTACTACTACTACTACTACTACTACTACTACTACTACTACTACTACCACTCTACTACTACTACTACTGCTGCTGTTGCTGCTACTACTACTACTACTACTACTACTACTACTACTACTACTCTTGCTACTACTACTATTGCTGCTGCTACTACTACTACTACTACTACTTTTATTAACATTACTATAATTATTTACGTGATATATACTATATTTGATTTACTGTGACAAAAAATATAGCTGATAATAATTTTTTGAAATGCAAAGAAAAATCTAATCAGTGGTGCCTGCTCTAGTCTGCTTATGTTTGTTTATTTGTTTGGTTGGGTGTT